TTCTGAATCAAAATCTCACTAATTACTGTTAATACCGTCAAAATGATAATTGGTTTATAGTGGCCAGTCCGCTGCCTATTTTAGTCAGCCGGGTATAACTAATGCGTGGTAATTGACTCTGTCATGGGAGAATAAAAGCGAAAAGATCCCTCCAACAATGCAGTGCTCCTCCGCTTTAATGCATATGCTTTCAAAAATAGTTCTTTAAAAAGCTTTTAAGTTTTTAAAAAGGTACGCCTGGTGCAACTACATACTCGCAGAAGTTATGGTGAGGAAAAGGGGTTCTTCAGACACCTTTAATAAGTATCTCTACTTACATGCAATTAGCAGTGGTAATTATGGTCAAACAATAAAAAGGCAGAGGGGAATCGCTGACAAAGGCGTTACCTCTTGTCAAAAGAGGATAAGGCTTTTGTTCTGTAAGATTTTAATCTCCAAGCTTGACTTAATTTAGTTTTTTGGTTATGAGGTTATAAAAGGGAAAGAAACAAACGTCGACTGGTTGTTCAGAGTTAGACCACAAAACGAAATCAATTAACTTGTACTTGGGCTATCTTAGCGCTTTAAAAGTGGGCTTTAAAAACCAGATGAACGTTTTGCTGTCAATTACACATCTTGTGTAACTATAGAATTATTATAACACATTTTACTGTTATCCTTCTTGTCTTCTTCTTTGCATCTCGTGAAAAAAAAAAGGTACATGAGAATTGACCGAAAAATGTCAAACAAAGAAGAATTTGAACCCCTACATTTTGCTCCCGGGCACTCTCGCTTTAAAAACTAATGACATTGACCTTCTTAATTATGAGGTCACCACTAATAAGTGTCATCGTAGCTTATCGTGTTGATGGGTTCGTTTAATTTTCAAGATCGAAGCGGTGGATTGTCGGCTTCGCAGCGTAAAGTTTCATGCAAGCGATAATAATAGGAAAGAACTTCAGTCGATGAAACGTAGAACAACTGAATCGAAACATGCAGGACCAAACATAAAATCCATTAACTACACTAAAAAGAGAAGCACTTAAACAACCAATTATCTATAGTAATACCTGTGTCAGCCATTCCAATGACATAATTTGAAATCATTAGTAATTAATTAAACATCAGCTGGTGGTTAGTCCAGCCGTTAGGCCATGAATACAATATATCAAGCGAAGGTTTTTTTTCCTTCACTAGTCCCACTCAACCTTTACACACTACACATTATTGTGCTTTAAGCAAATATTTTATTCGTAAAGTTACAGCTTCGAGCCTTGGTCCCTTAAGCAGCCACCTCAAATCCAAAGGTAGGATAGGAATTTTTAAAGAATATCGCTGATCGGCAAAAAGGACATTATTTTTCTTTTTAACTAACGCTTCTTACTAGGGGCTATAATTTAGGGCTTGAGGAGAGATATTTGTTGGAGAGTGATAATTTGTTCTTAAGTTAACCCACTGAAACTGCGAGCATGTATTTACTAGAATGACGATACATGATGGGAAGAAAAACCAATATCGCACTCATTGCTTCGCGATTCGTGCGATATCGGTTTTCGCGTGCAATTTAATCCGGAATTTCCCTGTTAAGTAATGAATTTTCCTATAATAGAGGTTGTATCCTTAGCTCGAAAAATGCCGGAAGTGAATAAAGCCCAGACTGGAACGTAGGTAACGAAATTTACTTGGTTGAATTGAGCCCTTGGTTTTAAGAAAGAGAAAAAGCTATAAACCTTTCCGATGTAACCAAGCCTCTCACCGGGACTAACAGGCATTACAGTTAAATAGTTGACGTATGACGGCTAAACATTCAAAAGTTAAAAGTTGTTTTTTCCAACACTTTTTGTTTTATTGTCTTAGGGGTAACCTCCTTGACAAAAAAAAAACAGTCAAAAGTCAACGGGGGAAGTTTCAAAACGTTTGTTTTTATTTGTTCTAAACGTCTGTTCTAAAACCAGACTTCCAAAGGTCGTGATAATAAATCAGTGTTCATTGAATTTAATGAAATCCGGAAAAAATATAGTACTCTGCCACATGTTTTACTTTTTCACGGTAATTATATTTACTTCTTCGGCTTAACAGTTGTAACCAGTATTTATTGTTATGCAATTATCGACGTTATGTGGATAGGTGAAAGGAAATGCAATTGTACATATTGCATTCCTCAATTTTCATTGTTCCCAGTTTTTCCCTTTTGTTGCGGTTATTATTATTTTCTTTTTGATTTAATATTTTCAGGCACTGTAAAATGATTTTGAGTATCCTGATTTTCATGTTGGTGCAAGGACAAGTGGTGAGTGATAAAAACCAAGGTTGAATAATTGGTTTTCTCTAAGAAATTAATTTTTATATTTGGGCGATATGCACAACATCCACTATCTTTGTTTTACTGACTCAGTACGTAATAATAAAGCCAGATGTACCTAGGATCTTCGAATATAATGTTTGGGAAAATTTCCTCAAATGGTAACACTCGTTCGCGTGCGTAATGATTCGGGACCGACATATCGTATTCAGTCTCCCAGGTTCCACACCCCTCCCCCCGACACTCTTCGTTCCTCTCCTTTCTACACAACCATTTTGTACATTATCGAAAAGGAAAAGTTTGGGGTGCAGATTAGCCGCCAGCGGAGAGTTGTTGAAGATCGTGACATAATGGCTATATGGAGCCACGCATCGTAAAGTCAGATAGAGTGCTCAGACAAACGATTGTTAATACAACACTTAGGGACCGCACACATGCCAGTGACCCGTTGACTAGCGCTTTATGGACGGGATAATGTTTGAAAAAAGTAGGCGAATCCAAAAAACGTGCGAAGTAAAGATTTATTCCAGTGCTTAGTGCTCCATTTGCCGGTCCTCGCCAAGTGAGTGAGAGCCTTCTGTTAGACAAGGTACATCAGCGGTATAGGCCATTTCACGTAAGGTGCGCGGAAATTCATAATCATAATTTGCCACCCTTTGTATGAATCCTTACGCTAACGCCTGAAGCCAACATTGACATCCTCTCCAAGACTCTGGATACCAAACATTGACATTGTATATTTTTTAAAGACTTGAAAAACCTGTACCTTGTCTGGTGGCTGACACCCGTTTAGCCCGGTAACTCCTGAGAGTGACTAGCGACCTATTTTCTCACTACAGAACCACGTCTAAATTAAACCGAAATTCTCCTTGTTAGTGCCACTGAAAAGGTATGAATAACAGAATAGAGAGGTTACATGTTGATTTTAGGGTGCAAAGGGTAAAGTCGAATAGAGGAACACTATGTAATGCGTAAAATGTTTATCACGTATACTGTCTGACAGATGAGCGACAGCGAGCTCTTTCCAGTTTCCATGTTCGAGGTGGATTCTGGCGAACACCAGCCGATTGATCCGCAGAAAAACGACGAAATCGAGCCTCTCGAAGGAGAAAACGCTACTGAAAGGTGCGAATTGTTGCATATACCAGGAGCTTAGCTCATTAGTACATTAGACTGAGTGTCATTCCGATTACAGTCGAACCTGTATCAGCTCACTTCCAAGCTTATCAGATTTATCTTCTTTTCAACACCCTCAGGAGCGCAAAGGTTCCAAAAATTAGCGGTGATGTGCGGCTAGATCACTTCCGAGCTAATCAGATTTATCTTCTCTTCAGTACCGTTAGGCGAGCAGTTGGTCAAGAAATTAACGATGATGTTAAGCCGTTAAAAAAAGAAATTGCTGATGCTTATGGTTTCGTCAAAGATCCTAATAAAGACCAGTGGAAGACACTACCAAGTTTTAAAGGTCAAATCGGAAAAAGAGGCTGGGCAGCAGCAGCGCAGTTGGCAGAGGAATTCTTCAGAAACAACAACAACCAAGAAACACCTTGGAAACATTTACTGGCCACACGAACCCCTATCAACCTCCTTTACATTACAGCTGCTAGATACCTTTTTGTAACTCACGTTCTTTGGGAAAAAAGTAATAGAAGGTTAGTCGCTTGCAAGGAAAATAGAGAAAGATACAGCGATATTATTAAAAGCTTCAAGATCCCTGCAACTGGAGTGTGTTTTCCTTTACCTTATGGCAGCGCCACCTACAAATCAGACTACGACGTCGGGCTCATCGGAAAAGATTCTGGAACCGTCACACAGAGCTTTAATCAGTATTTTCAAGCCGCCGCCCCGGATGGATTCGGCAAACCCTCGGAGCTTGTATTGGACACAAATGTTTACGCCTTCACTCTAGAATTCGCCATGCCTGCGATGTTTCCCAGCCTTCCCTCCTCATTTATTTTCAATCTCCACAGACTTGAGCAAATGAGTTGGTACAAAATGCAAGAATTGGCCAGTGCTTATTACAAGGTCTTCAAGTACAACAACACTTTCTTTGAGGAAATGAAAGAAGAAGCTATTCAGAAAATGAAAGTTACAGGCGCCGAACGGGCCATGAAACATTTGCAACATTGGCTCAAAACATTTCAAGATATGGACAAGCAGCAGGCTTTGAGACAAACTAATGAGATTTCACCGACTGCGTTCAGATTAGCCCACAATAATAAGTACCAGGAGTACCTGCAAAGCATGTCAAAGTATGGAGGATACGACAAGCGATCAACAGGTAATTAGACATCGATCGGACAGACTAGAGATGTAAATAACTGTTTATGAAAAAGCTGCATCTTATCACGGAAAACTAATTCAAAATGCACGAGCTGTTCCATTACGATACTAACCCTCCCAACTCCTGTTGACGCTCTCCATTAATAATGTGAGCAACTAATAACAAAGGGTAAACACCACAGCGTACACTATTGAGTTATGGATGCACGCGGGAGGTTGCTAAGCACGAAAAAAGTGTAAGACTCTCTCGAGGCGATAGCCGAGAGAGACTCTAGCTTCTTGAGTTGAAATAGTGTACGCTGTGGTGCTTACCGTTTGTTTTATAACATGACATGATACATTGTAGCAAGAGTTCCCTTTTTTTTTAACAAATCTCACGTGACCAGAAAAAACAAGCGCGCGAAAATTAGTCTTTACATTTGCCCAACGTCAACTGCGTACACCCATTGGCAAATGGTGGACACTGAATTGACTAGATTAGAGCGCGCGCTTTACTTTGGTAACGTTGTATTTAGAAACTTCATTCAAAATCGAAACGTACCGATGAAAAATGCAAAAATAAACGCCATTTTCCGCTCAGCGCCTTGTGTTGAATTAAAAAAAGTAGGACCCCGAGGATTTGGTATCATATATGTAGGCTTGAATTGACAGATGTTATGTGCAATTACGCTCTTTCACAGTTTACCTCGCCAAGGCCCTGCTCTACGCTGCAGAGGCATATCACACCCGAGGCGCCATTCGACATGTAGTCCAGGGCATGCAGATGAATGCGATCACCACGTGTCAATATTACACGCCGCTATCAACGTACGACCTGTGGGTATCGATGATTGAAAACTGGGGAGAGGCAAATAAGGAGTACCAACACTGTGGAAATATACCCGTGGCGGACTGCTTGATGAAGATGAGCAAGTACCTGTCGAGGATGTTTGACGCCATGCGAGTGATCCGCCGTACCCGTCTGCCAAAGAAAGACAGAAAAGGATTGCTAGACTTCGGATCAACTAAGGACCCAGAGCTCGCGATAAACCTTTTACTGCGATACAAAAGAAGTGGTGAGGGTTTCTCCCCAATAGCTCAAGAGCTTCTACCAGGATTTTTGCAACAGTTCGATTGTAATAATGTGTCATATGATCGGAAATTTCCGGAGGCATGCTTGAAAAATATCCATGATGCAGTGAACGCCTACAATAAAGTTTTGGCTGCCAAAGTGAACAAGATAAATGGGTTGAAAACCAAATTAACCCTTTGACCTTTCCATAGCACTGCAGGTAACTTCGCTAAACAAGGTTTGCATATCGTGAAATTAAGAGACAGGTGGAAATGAAAATTCATCAACTAAGAAAATTGCAAATTCTCAAAAATTTCATATAAAGAGACGCTTTCAAAACAGCGCAGCCTAAAACATATTCTCTATTTATTCATTTCACATTTACTGTATATCAAATAAGTCTTTACTTCTCTGTAATAAGGAGCTTTAAGATCAAGGAGAGCCAATATGTACTAGTGTATTGATAAACATTTAGTTCATGCTGTTCCTTACGCATCATATGGCCAAGAAACACCAATCGGCCGAAGATTTCCTTGTCCCTGTTGGCCGTGTAGAGTATAATGAGCACACAACGGGTGAGTTGAAGTGAAAATCCTTGCATGGCTGTACGTTGGTAGTCATAGAT